CTTTTACAACACCAATAAGATGTTAAAGATATCTAGCAAAGCTATTAAGAAAGTGTACTTATAAAAATTCTAAGACAGCATTATTTTGTAGGATAAGTACCTTTGAATAGCTGGCAATCTTGCACAGAGACTCTGAGCTGCAGATTCACCAGTAGCAGTGAAGAGAAGAAAGAGTTTTTTGATCTTGCATTTGTAGAAGAAAAAAATCTTAATTTGGTGTCCTTTCCTCCACAGAGGACAGTACAGGCAAGCTAAAAATGAGAGCAAATACTTCAGTTATTATATTTCAGGAAGTGTCATCTGCCAATCTGACTGTGCCTGTGTTGCAATAACACAGAAAGTGGACTTAAAGCACATACACTCATCCAACACCCTTGTTAGATGTACCCCATCAGCAGTGTTGATCAAAACAATTAGAAAAATCTCAGCATTTGATGTGTCCTGCCCATGTCTGATCCATCCAGAATAGAAAGATTAAAGAAGGTGAAACCCTTGCTAAAGTTCAAGAGATTTTCGCCCATAGCTCATATTACACAAAGACAGCAAAGATGATGGACAACCAACTTCGGAGAGGATCTTGATGTACGCTTAACTAGCAGTGAGAGCATAACTTAGCACTTGGGTAATAAAACACATCAGCCTCCAGAGGTATCAAGACTCTTTAACTTTCCATTTTCCAGACATTTTGGAGATCTGCAATTTTAGAGTCCCAGAAAGAAAATATCTTATTGAAATTGTGCTACAGATAATATAGTTCCAATTACGTAAACAGGAAAGGCAGTTTGCAAACTGAAGATTTAATTAAACTCCTAGCAATAATGATTTCCACTCATTAATTCTGTGTTGTTTGAGAAAGCTTTCCATCTTGTTTGTTTTAAAATTGAGCATAATTAGCTTTATAATATTTATCTTTAGTTCTTTTGTTATGAGAAATTCAAGCACCAAAGCCTGCTTTCAGATTTCCTGAGCTCAGCAAGAGCTGATATTAGGAAGTACCTCTACCACATCCACCTAGCTTGTGTTTCTGCTGTTTGGAACGTGCACTATCAAACAGCATGTCAGCATCCTGTTGTCTGGTCTAGAGTACAAGTACAGTGATATGTGTTTCAGTGATATCAGGTATTAGATTTGAGAGGTGCAGAAATCAGTTGCTTTAAGGCAATCTGTTTGATCTTTGGATATGAAAATATTCTACACAATGACAGAGTGTTTGTGGTTCTTTGTCCATTGAGCTCTTGGCCTTACCCATTTTACCTTCATTATAAAATTAAACTAACTACTGTTAAAGGAAAGCCAAGCATCGTGCAAAAGAGAAGGCACAGAGTCTTCTTATATATCTGTTTCACTGACTGTCCTACAAAGAATGATGGCTTGTTTTGAGGATTTGTATTGTATGGATATTGGAGGTTCTCCTGAGAAAATATTTATTTACATACAAAAAAAATAAAAGGTGCAACAGCATGCGGTAACAAATAAATAGAATACTTTTCCTTCCGGAAATGAGAGGAAGATAATTTGTAGAAAATGGTGTTTCAGAGGGTTCAGAGACAAATTATTTCCTGGAGCACTTTTTGTATGAAGTGTCCCTTTGTCAGGACACGGCCTAGCACCTGCTGTGCTGTAGCTTTATCCCTCCTTAACCTGCAATAAGTCTTCATACTTTGGGATCCATCCCAACCATACACAGCCAAGTATGTTTATGACAGACTGAAGTTTGTAGCCAGCAGAGGCGAAGAGAAAGCCAACACCATCATGGCATTGTAGACAGGTGGTCACGGCACACTGCCTGCTGGTACACACTGCCATGTAATTGCAGTCATCAATACAAGCATGGGACACTTCCAGAACTCACAACAGAATAGAACTTCAGCTGCCTCTATAATCACTCCTCAAAGGTCCTGGCGGGGAATCCAAACACCTCCTCTGAGGCTTGAAGGCTGCACTGAGTGGGCAGCAAAGGATACTACTGAGAGCTTTTGAATCAGCTTCTTTGAGTCTTACCATGATTTTTGCAGTCTGAGACTACAAGCTTTGCATTATGTTTTGTCACAAAAATCCAAAAAATACAGGGATTTTTAATTTGATTTCCTAGTCAGGCATAGCTTCCTGGAAAGATACATTTTCCTTTAGCTTATTTATTCATTTTCCTTTCAGTGCAACCTAAACCTTTCCTTCCTGTTGGGAGCAACAGCTGCAGCCCATGACATGGACTTGCCAAGCCTGAACGACTGTAAAATATCATTTACCTTGGAGCAAGATAGTATCAAAGAGAACAACCACATGGGCCTGATTATGAATTCATTACATGGCTCTGCTTAAGAGAAGGAGAAGTTGCAGTTACCACCAGGTCTCTCTTCTGAGCTGCCACCTGAAAGGGCTGTTATATTTGAAAGCATTATTGAGACAAAAAGGGAATTTTTGTTTCTTTGCTTAGAAAAACGTTCTCAGCTTTCAAAGGTTGGAGATACAAAAGTGTTCACCAGAGCAGGAAACAAATACTTCCATAGGTTAATGAGGTTGTGATGGCCACAGAAGAACAGGTAATTGGCTAATTAAGGCCACACAGCTGACACACTTCTCAGCATCCCCACATTGTCCTACAAATCTGGTAGACCCTGTGTGAGTGCCATTGCCTTTGGATTAAAAAATGCTTTCAGGTATCTCTGTGCTACCTCCATGTTTTTGACTTTTAGGTGGGCTTTTCTGATAGAAGCAACCTTTAAAGTTTAGGAGGCTGTTCAGATGAGCTGAAAAGCAATGATTTATCACATATTTTTTTCCACTGCAGTCTTTCTCTCTAGGTCCATTTGATTTCTCCTGTCCCCCAAGGGCAGATGGCAGGCTGGGGGAGGCAGAGACTACTGGGTTGCTCTTTGTTTCCTGCCCTGGTCTCAAGCTCCTCCGGAAGTGTGCTGGACTGTCGTGCTCACTTCCTTTTTCAGCCTCACGTATTTCCCATTAATGATGAGTGGGAAAGGTCAAGGAGGGTCTCTTCAATGGTTTACTTGAGGGCAAGAAACAGCCTAGGGAAATGGGTCCCAGGCTTCCTGATTTCCTGAGATTTCGAGTCTATTCAATAAGCAAAAAATACTTCTTAAGAAAAGTGAAAAAATAAAGGGATTAAAGGGGATGTTACCATGTGGGCTTGGTTCTACCAGAATTTCATTATGTAAGCTTCAGCAATTCTTTCCCAGTGATTTTAGTGATAAAAGAGTAGCCTGAAAAAGAACCAAGACAGATAAAGGAAACATTGCATCGATGTGTGGGGTTAAGCAGTAGAAGATAATGACGCTCAGTTTAAGGTAGCTCAGGTGTAGTGTGTTTGAAATTTTAAGTGACCCTTCACAAAATGTCTAAGAAGTGCTTCAACCACTGTTAATAACATAATGAAGGCAGGAGTGCTTTCAGCTCAGTTACAATGGCTGAGAACTCTTTCCATCAGGAGTTCAGAAAATATTAAGGGATCTGGATGACTATGGACTTAAACATAGCCAATTTGCACAACATTTCTCATGCCCCAGGACAGAAAGGCGTAATTTTACCTGTGCACACTGTGCTTCACATACAGAAGTAACATGCCTTTCATTATTTCCATGCAGAAGCTATTCGGTGTAAATCAGTTTTGCCAGTTGAAGCCAAGGTAATAATGTCAGGAGTTTTTTCGCTGTTATCTTTCCCTCTTTGTTTTTTGCCTCGCTTTGTTGCGTCTATCACTGAATGTTCCAGAGCTCTCTACAGTGAGCTTGGAAAGTGCTGACCCAAGTCATTTACTGTATCTGCGCTCACAAACAAGCTGTTATTTGGCTTTGGCATGTAAATAAGTCACTGGTCTTTCCACCTTATAGCTGTTAAGTAAATGCTATGAACCAAGTCCACAGCAATGATTTCTTGCAGGAGGTTACTGAGATGATTTCACAGAAATATCCTACAACAATTTTACAAAACAGGATGAGTCTCAGCCTGAATTTCATGAGTCTGTTTTTTTTCCATTTCCATTCCAATGGGCACTGTGTTTTTGCTGTCACAGACAGGCAGCTAACTCATCCTGACTCACAGAGGCTAGGAAAACGAAAACTTCACCCACTCTTCATACTGTCTAGGACAGATGTGTTATAAAGGAATTGTATTTTGGTAGGACCTAGAAGTCCCAGCTCATGTTGCTCACTGTATATGCACACTTATAGTAACTGCAGTGTGCAGTAATAGAAAATGTGCATATACAGTGGATGCACCATAGCACAGAAATAGCTAGTGGTACCAATATAAACAGGGGAGCTGGTAGCCTAGTTCAAGCTGAAAACCTTGCTGCAGAGTAGGAATAATCAACCCATGCAGACCAATGAAAATATTCTATTTATAAAGAGCGCTTATAAATCCATACCTGTGGATTAAAATACAAATACCGAGACTAGAAGGAAAAAAACATCATCTTTTTTCTGCAGATGACAAGCTGAGGCAGAGATGAAGTGCTTTGTCCAAGATGCCACAAGAATCCTGTGTTAGAGCCAGAACTGGAGACACCCATGTGTCTCAGTCACATGTTATTCCTTACTCTGAATGCAGTTCAGATTCACACTCTATGCAGATGCAACCCCTCTGACCCAGTAAACTCCATTCTCAACTTTCACCCATTAAAAGGACAGGATCAGACTGTGAGTGTAAGGATGCTGCTGGGCAATAAAAATTGGAAGCTCTGATCTTGATCTCACCTACTAATGACGGGCATTTTTTGAGGGGACTCACAAGGCAGTGAGTTTTGCACTTAAGTAAGGGCTTGGGAGGTGAAACTAATAGGTGCGTCTGTATTTGCCTGAGAATGTAAAGAGCATTTTCTTTCCACTGGTTGCTGGCTTGTAAAAGCAAAAGGATGGAATACATCCAACTTGCAAAACTTGAATACAGTTACTGCTATCTGCAAATGTGTGCCCCTCCCCGCTCATGTGAGCTACACAGGCAAAAGAGAATGACACATGTGCTGTTTCCTTTTCCAGTTGTAAAGGGGTCAGGAGCCAGGAAAGGAGAGCCTGAACAAGAGCCGCATTTTCCTGGGCTCTTCCAGCTGTTCTGTTCAATCCCGCCGTCGGTTCTGAGCAGGGAAGAGAGGCTGTCAACACAAATAAGGCATTTTTCAAAGGCGTAAATTATGAGTTACCAAAACAATACGACATCTCAACCACGTGAGTACCCTTATCCCCCCTCCTTGCAGTAAGAGTGGGTTTACCAATCTGACGCTTAAGGAAAGGATTGTCAAATGTGTTTCATGTGAAAGGGAAAAAGAAAAAAAAAAAGAATGCCTGAGACTCATCCTGAAGGAGAGAAGTTGCAATGAAACTGGTTTCCTTTTTAATTCTTTGTGTGTGTGTGCGTGTGTGAAGAACTGAAACGGCTCTGCAGACTCCAGCTCCTGAATAGAACCAAGCAAACTCAGTAATGTTTCCGTCTAAATCCTGGTTTAAGAAAATTTAAATGTTTTTCCCTCCCTACTCCACCTCCAGGAATGAAAATATAGAGCATTTCGAAAGCTTCCTGATGCTTTTCTAAACTATTAATGGTGCTGCCCAACTTCTGTTTAGAGTCCCAGGCTGTCTGCGTGTAACATGAGACGCAAAGCCACAAACGGACCGTCTATATTTAAAGTCACAATGTGTTTCTGCTCTGGAAATGTAGAAACGTGGGCTTAAGGACAAGCAAGTTCGCTTCTCAGCAAGGGAGGGTACAGGAGGGCAAGTTCTCTGCTGGCATAACTCTGCATATTTTAGTGAACTTGGAAAGAGAGTTTGGCCTGAACAGTCAAGTGAACACAGATGCTTAACGGCAGCATGCCTGCATTCCTTTTGGGTTAGCATAAAAAAAGAAAGTGGAAGAGAAGGGGATGGATTCTGGTCTGATAAACTAAGGAAAGTTTTCACCGCTGAAACAGCAGGACGCAACACTGTCCTTCATGATTTTGGTATAATCTTTCCTGTTTTAATTTGAGGCAGTAATTTTGTAATATTTTTGATAAACAAACTGCCAATAGCAGAATTGTTTATCGTTCCATGGTATCAGTAATGAAGACAAAATGTACAGACAGGATTGCTGAGAGCTGCTGGAAATTCAGGCTATGCTGTCAGAGTATTTGGTCTGCATGGAGGCTAATGGCAGCGGTGCTTCCTGAGCTTTGAATGGGACAGGCTGATCCAGCAGAAACAGCACAGCGAGCAGTAGCTCTGGAATCCCAGGCAGCAATTTCTGTTTACCCTTTATTCCTTTTTGCAAGTTCCAACAAACTCTAAAGATTAGATGATAGGTTTATCTTATACGTTATTCTACATTATTCAGCAGTTTAGGAGATAATGACTTGTTTACTATTGTTTCTGTTACCGTTCGTTTTCTATTATAGACAGGAAAGCAACAGGCAGGCTAATTCAGGATTCTGAGAGATTGAGTTTACAAAAGCTTGAATAAATGAGTTCCATTGGTGCTCTCAATACATGTGCAGGAGGGTGGTAGTGACTCAGTGAGGTTCATTTTGCTCCTTGTGCAGTATCTCCAAGGGTCCAGACCCAAATTACCATGTCTAGTTACAGACTTGGCCAGCTGACAAGCCAAGGGCCAGTTCAAAACACCAAATAAGTGATTTCCAATCTAGCTAGAATAAGAATTCAGCCTGAAAAATAAAAAAAAGACTCTATTCTTTACTTCCGTCATATTTTCTGTCACTGATTCAGACAGAATGTATCTTATTTCACTTTGTGTCCCTCAGATTATTGTTTTTGGTGTTTTTTGTTTTGTTTATCTGTTTATTTTTTAATTACCTGGATCAAATGACACAGAAAGAATAAAATTAAAGATAATTCTGTAACATACTCTGGTACTGTACATACTCTGATAAAACCAGGGCATTATTTGTATAGTGGTTGAAGTTTTGGGAGTCAAGTCTGGAGACGAAGGTCTTATTTGTTAGTAAAATTCCAGTAATTTTTGTAAGTTACAAGACATCAAAAGGCTGGTGTACTACCAGGAGCAGTACAGTACGGATGGCAGATGTTTACCAGAAAGGCAGAGTATTTGGGAAAGCACATTTTCTTCAGAACTATAGTGAAAATCTTTGAAATGGGCGTGAAAATGTATAAAGAATCACCAAACCCTTTGATTAGACTGAATGAATGAATTATTACTGACTATATTAATTATTCCTAGGTACCTGCAGATGAGACTGCAGAGCAGCTACCTACTGATGTAAATTAAGCAGGGTTAAGTTACCTAATTGCTTGTGTTCTTTGCTTATCTCCTTGTGTTCACTTGCAGCTGATAAGGGATTTTTATTAATTCTATAAGTACAGTATGGTCCTACCAATCCAGGTGGGAGCAGACTTCTGTTTCAGATTTAAACCGTTCACCTCTGCAAAGACAGCAAACGTATTCTTCTTCTGAATGGAAGTGCCATACCATACAATGTCAGGGAGCCATGCCTGGCTCCAATATCCCATCGCTCACAGGGGGGGTCTCTGTATGCTCAATGGAGAGTTGGGTGAGCCAGTAGTTCAGCCTGCTGATATTAGGCAGTGTGTAAAATATTTACTCCATCATTCTTCTGTAACGGACATTTGCATGTAGCTAGAATCCAGGAATACCTAAGGAAAGAAGTCTGATAACAAAGCCAAAAATGGAGCTGGGACCTCAAATCCATTGGCTTGGATTCAGTACAATATTGTGCTCTGAATGTATGTCCATTTTCTTTCTTCTTTTTTTTTCATACCATTATTGTCATTTTTATTGACTAGCCTCACTAAAGAGATGTAAACTTCCCGACTTTGAAACACATAATTTCTAAGTATATCACCATCTAGTGACATCTTTGCTTCTTCCAAACTATGTTCAGATGCACAGGAAGTAACTGCCCGACTTATTACAAAATTGGAAGAATTCCACAAGTTGGGCAATCTCTACTCTAACTGCAGCTTTTGCCTTCTTCCTGTTGGACTGCAGTGACTCAGTTCTGAGTCAGTGAGCAACATGAGGTGAAGTATTCACATAAGCCAGCATCGCTGGGTAGAAAGTGCAGTCTGGAGAGTCAGTGAGCTATGCAAAGCCATTGCTGGGGTTCAAAGATGTCTATCCCAACAGAGAAGGTGATCAGAAAAGGCAAGACTGAATCTCAAGGGCTGTAAAGTGGTCCTTTGAATGTTCCTGGAGCAATACTTTCACATGTGGCATGTGGAAAGCTCAAATAGTCTTTTAGCCTTTAAACAGCACTGTTCACTGCTTTGGAGGCAGATCTAATTTCATCATCCTCAATCACTTGCCTGCGACAGTAACTAACAAACAAAAAATAGGGGTTACTGATTACAAAAACACTGGTCTTCATTGGTAAATCTGTGAGTACTTATAAGTGAGGAAACCTGTAGATTATAATAACCTGCCATTTTTAGCACAGAAGGCTCAAAATGTGTGCCACAAAGCATTTATGTAAATTGAATGCCTCTGTTGGTATATTTGTCATCCACTACTGTGCATATGAATTGGAAAATTTTGCTTTATACTCCAGGGTTTCTCCTCAACATCTCAATGCCTGAGATGGGGATGTGAAAGTCTGCAAATTGGAAGGCATAGAACACACCTGAAATTTCAGTAATTAATAGCAGAAGTGCTGGTGAATTGCTAAACTGGGTCAGAGGACAGATGTCCGTTGAGATAGATGCTTGCTTTTATAAAATATGGACTTTCCAGCAATTCTGAGATCTGCTTCTCGCAAAATAAAAATTAAAAATGGAGAAATTTTCCTACCAACAGTTCACACAATAGGTGTTAAAGATTCTGCTTTGGCTTTTTGTGTTTAAGCCTATTACTAACACAGAATTGTGCCGTGTCTGCATCTCATTGCTGATACTGCTGCACCTTTCTTTCGAGGTTCTTGTGGAACATACGCTGTAACCATCACTGTTCAAATGACTGAGTCCAATCAGCAGAGCCTTTTGTAAAACAGGCTTTGGGGACTGCATTCTCTAATGAAAGTCTGTTTGTGTGTCTGCTCTGCAGAGTGCCTGTCTCTATTGTTGAGGAGGGATTAGTATTCCTATAGCATAGAGAAATTCAAGCCAACAGAGAGGTCTGATTGTGCGAGGTGCTGTGCAGTCACTCTTTCCCCAAAAAGCTGGTAGACTACATAGAGATTTTACAGGTAGTAGAAAAATGACTGCTTTCCCTGGCTAGTCTTGGGTATGGAAAGTCACTGATAACAAGTAGGAGAAAGAAAAAAGAACAGATCCCAACAGATCCAGTGTGCAACAGCTCTGTGCTTCCTACTCTATAATTTTCTAGTACACTCTTGGAAAAAAGATGCAGCTTAGAAGTCATTTAGCAACTGGCAAAATTATTTTGTGGCAACCTTATCCATGACAGAGGGGTTAGAACTGGATGATCTAAAAGGTCCCTTCAAACCTAAACTATTTTAGGAATCCATAGTTCTACAAAATACAGTGCTTGCAACACGGGGGATCTTTGTTGTTTTGTTGTGATGGGTTTTTCAGTTTGATTTGTTTTATGGGGGAGGAATTTGTTGTTTTTTGTTTTTTGGTTTGGTTTTTTGTTTTTTTTTTTTGGTTTTTTTTTTTTTTTGCTTCACATTTGAGTTGTAATAAGAAATGCACGAAAAATTGGGGTCAACACAATACTGCAGTGACAAAGGTACCTGAACACCGTAGCCAAGCAGGTACTTGGGCAGCACACAGACCATGCTTTAAACTTATTTCTGAAAGACTTCAGTTCCTAAGTCAAATGAATTTGACAGTTACCCCAGTAATGAGTTCCTGAGAAATCCACCTGCTGCAGAGCATTCTGTAAAACTGCTCTGTGAAAGAATAGGAGTGGCATTCATTCTGGGTCTGCCAGCAAGTTATAAGCAAATAGAGAAAAGGACTGTTTTCTCTGCATAATTTATTTCTAACGCATAACTCAACTATATCAAGCAATGATCATGCAGCATGATAACAGGCATGTACCTCGTAATTTGTGGCTGAAATCAGATCCATGCTCCTCAATTTCTCCAAGGGTCAGCATGATCTAATTCACACTAGTCTCCTCTCTAATGTTAGCAAAGAAGTCAAATGCACTGTCTTTGCTCTGCTGATCTCTCATTGCAGATGTACCTTGCACGTATAGTTTCACCAATGAGACATCTGGCTAAGCGATTTCT